GCTGATCTTTGGTTCTGTCCCTGGGGTTGAAATAGGTGATGAGTTCGACTACAGAGTGGAGCTTAATCTCGTCAGTCTTCATCGCAATTTACAGGCTGGCATAGACTATGGAATGCACAATGGTGTGCTCCTTGCTGCTAGTATTGTTGCATCTGGGGGGTACGACGATGAGTTGGATAATTCAGGTGTCTTGATTTATTCGGGGCATGGGGGGAATGTGATGCACAGCAAGAAAAAGCCTGAAGACCAGAAGCTCGAGCGGGGGAATCTTGCTTTGAAGAACAGTAGCAAGGAAAAAAATCCTGTCAGGGTGACCCGTGGTGCTTTCTTTGGAGATGAAAGTCGTAAGAGATATGTGTATGATGGGTTGTATGAAGTTGAGACATATTGGCAAGAAAGGGGGCCACATGGCAAGATGGTTTTCAAGTTTCAGCTGCAAAGAATCCCAAACCAACCAGAGCTTCCTTGGATTGAACTGAAGAATTCCAAAAAGTTCACATTAAGGAAGGGTTTATGTGTCATTGACATCTCACATGGTAAGGAGGCACTGCCAATTCGTGCTGTAAATACCATAGATGATGAAAGACCACCACCATTTGAATATATCACTAGGATGATCTATCCTGATTGGTTGCATCCGACGCCTGCTAAGGGATGTAACTGTACGGACAGATGCTCTGACCCGACAAGATGTTCTTGTGCTGTTAAAAATGGAGGAATCCCATTCAATCACACAGGGTGTATTGTAGAAGTAAAGCCTCTGGTGTATGAGTGTGGCCCTTCTTGCAAATGCCCTCCAGATTGCTATAACAGAGTCAGCCAACGTGGAATAAAATTCCCGCTTGAAGTTTATAAAACTGACAAAAGGGGATGGGGTGTGAGATCTCTACGCTCCATTCCTTCTGGAAGTTTTGTATGCGAATACATAGGAGAGTTGCTTGAAGACAAGGAAGCTGAACAAAGAACTGGTCATGATGAGTATCTCTTTGATATAGGTAATAATTTGATCAGTAATGGTATACTTTCTGATGGAGTCTTCATGCCTGAAGTCTCTAAGGATGGTGGTGGTTTTACCATTGATGCAGCTAGGTATGGTAATTTGGGCAGATTTTTCAACCACAGTTGCGCCCCTAACATGTATGCACAAAATGTTCTGTATGATCATGGTGACCGCAAGATTCCTCACATAATGCTGTTTGCTGCTGAGAACATTTCTCCGTTAAAAGAGCTGACTTATGATTACAATTACTCTAAAGATCAAATCTTCGATTCTGATGGCAATATAAAGAAGAAGGATTGCTATTGTGGCTCTTTGGGGTGTACTGGAAGGATGTATTGAAGTCCTTGGCGAGGTTTGTTAATGGAGAAGCGGAGATAGTGTTTTGACTTCGTTGTTTGCACATTCCTTGATGTGTATGACTCGTTTTGTCTGTTCTGCATTAATCCTGACTCTGATGGTGTAGAAGGGATGTTAGCTTGACCTGCTTCATATAGATATGAAGGAAAAATACTTTAACTTCTGTCCAGTTTGGGTTACATAGTTTGAACACGTATTGCATATATTTCCAAGTAATCAGATTCTTCGTTTGTTAAGTGCGTCTTTATATTTTTTTTAATCACCCTTTGCTATATATTCTTGAGTAGGGAACATTCATTGGCATATGTGATGGAAGCATTGGCAGTGGATTGATTGATTCCTTTGAGAATGCGATAAGAAATCAGATTCCATCATTTTAAATGCAATGTGGTTGGTTTTACTTCGGGATGCTTTTGAATATACACATGATATGAAATAGAATATATCTGAACAAATATGCAAACTCATGAGTTATTGGTTAATACAGATTCGGGTTGTAAGTATGTGTAGTTGCCAAGTTAATCATCAATATGTATACCATAAAATCTATATGCGAAGGATAGAGCTTAAAGTCTGGTCTTGCTGTAAGCAAATTAGAATGAAAGTATATATCTAGCACAGAGTAAAGTAATCTGAATCTCACTGGTTTTGCTTAATGCAATAGGGTTAGTGTCCTTTTTCATCTGTTTCGAATTCTATTTCCAACTAAATACTCTTTTCAAATAATTTTTTTGCCCTAAATGAATTAGTACAGTAACACATCATTGCTTGTAGCACATCTGAATCAGGATCTCTCTACCAGCATCATCTACGCTCTTTGCACAAGCAATGAATCTGCAAATCTCTTCCATAACGTGCTTCCATTTACCAAATAATTCTGAAGCAGACGAAGACGAAGAATCAGACCTCCTGCATTATAGCTAGCTGGAGATGAAGCTTGCAAACCATGAGTGAAGATCGAAAGCATGCAACAAAGAACATGGAGGTTTGCAACTCTATTGGCTTTTGGAAGTTGATCTTTTCTATGATTATAGAACCTCATTTGATAAAGATTAAACATTAAGGTTTTTTTACCCCTTTTCCTCCTATTCCTGATTGACCAGAAAACTTCAAATTGGCAATCTTCCTGTGCGTTTAAGGGAATACTCCCTCTGTTTTCGTTTATAAGTTGCTTTCAGTTTTTTTTTTTTTTTGTCCAAATCGAAACTTAGAAAAGGGCTAAGCATGTATATAGCTTCGTACTGTTTTTTTCCTTTAAGGGCTAAGGATGATGATAAATGCTCAGACTATGTGCTTATTGAAGTCTTGATTGTAATCTCTAATCAAATTAAATACCCACTTCTTTAAAATAAAATAAAATAAAAAGCTTGATTAGCTATAACAATAGATTTGATAGAAAGTGTACCAGGCCAGATTGCCTTAACATAATCACAAGTGAAGATGTGCTCTGAAGATTCATATTTAGGACATCCAAAGGCACAAATTACTGTTAGATGAATTATGCTTAGTAAGACCATCATAAGAAGGCAGAGCCTTATTCAGAAATTCCCAACAGAGAAAAATGAATTTAAAAGGAAGCTTGATTCTCCAAAGGTTAGACCAAAGTTCGTCGTCTATGTAACTGAATTTCCTACAAGCAATGGAGGGTCTATATAACTGGGCAATGAGGATTTTGTTTCAACTTTTGGAGGCATGCTACATGATTTACTTGAATTAGGCTCTCTGTTCTCTCTTTATCTGTGCATAGGCTATAATAATAAGTTTAGTGCTGATTTTATTTCTGTGCCTATCACAATGTTGAGCTTTGTACTGCCTAAATTGGAGGCTAAATTATACCAAACTCCTCTCAACTTTGTCCCGTATAAAAATAATCATCATAATACTTAAAACTTGACAAAAAAATTCATATATTTTTAAGTCTGTGCAGTTAACCACTTACCATAAATTATTCTGTTATTTTACTAACAAAGCATAATATGTTATTATTCACTGAAAAAAAAAAGCATAATACTTTGTTATTGGGTAAATATCCCATTTAACTTTCGTTTTCTTTCTTTCTTTCTTTCTTTTTTTTGGCAATTAACTCCTTCAAACTTTTAGTTTTGTATGGATACTCCTATCATATTATATTATTTTAGTGAAGTAACAGATATATGTAAAAATTGATGAAGGCTGATTGCAAAGTTTAAAATGTCAAGAAGACTATTTACACAAAACCTAAATTTCTAGAGGTTATGTTACTCATGTATATTTAGATAAAGATAGTCTAGATTTAAAGTTTTAATTTATTATTTTTGAAAAGATCAGGTATTTGCTATAGTTATGATTGTTTAGAGAAATACCACCTACTTTTTACAGGAAAAGAACATATAATGTTTTCTTATTGAAAAAGGACTAGGATAGACAGATAACTTTGAAGTAACTAACTACCAACTACCCATTATGAAAACATTTCATTCATAGGCTAATACATACGGTACATGTTAAGTACTTCATATGTATCAAACCCAGAAAAGCTAGTTTAATCATTTATATGTATGGATTGGAGAAAATAACAAATGCAAATTAATAAACGTATATAAATGCTTTAAAGTTACAATACTAGTCATGTCCTTTGCAAGACATGCCATCAACCCTTTCACTTCAAGTTCATATACCACTTGCTCTCTCTCAGACTCATATATATACACACACACATATAATTTCTCAACTTCATTCATCTTCATCGTCATCCATAGACTTAGAAAATGTTTCTGCATAGAAACTCCACAGCTGTGTTGGTGATTCCTATTATTGCTGTTTCGGCATATTTTATTGTCGTACATGAGACTAATCAAAACGAGCAGTCGTTTCTGGGTGATTTATGGTCGTCTTTCTCTTTAAATCGTGGTCGTCACCACCACCACCACCACCATCATTCCCACAAGAAACGACCTGATAATAGCAGCAGCGGTGAGATAACTGGCAATATATGTGATGATTTTCCGCCGGGAATTCCGCCGCCGAATACCAATACCACGACGTATCTGTGTGTGGATCGACGAGGGTGCTGCAACTTCACCACCGTGCAAGCAGCTGTAAATGCTGTCCCAGATTTCAGCGATAAAAGAAACGTCATATGGATTAATAGTGGCCTTTATTAGTAAGTTTGTTCAACAAGATTATCTTTACTTGCCCAACTAATCAATATACGTATTAATATATTAATGTTTATATGTTTTGAATAGTGAGAAAGTGATGGTGCCAAGAAGCAAACCAAACATCACATTTGAAGGACAAGGCTACACTTCAACAGCAATTGCATGGAACGACACAGCCAAGTCAGCAAACGGCACATTCTATAGTGGCTCCGTCCAAGTCTTCGCCTCCAACTTCATTGCCAAAAACATAAGCTTCATGGTACTTTCCATGACAACCTTTGTTTTCACGAAGCCTAATAACTGATTAATTAGTTAAGCCCTTAACTTTGGTTTTTAAATTAAAAAAAAAAAACTTGCAGAACGTGGCGCCAATTCCAGGTCCTGGGGTGGAAGGAGCACAAGCAGTGGCAATAAGAGTAGGGGGTGATCAGGCTCAGTTCTGGGGATGTGGGTTTTTTGGAGCACAAGATACTCTTCATGATGATAGGGGTCGCCATTACTTTGGGGATTGCTATATCCAGGGCTCCATTGATTTCATCTTCGGCAATGCAAGGTCTCTCTATGAGGTAATCTTCACTAACATCTCTTGAAATATCAAATTCTCCTGTCTTATTTTCTCCCATCCTAAACGTAAGAGTTAAGTAACTGATTTACAGATGTTAAAGTAATGCTCCCTTTAATTATTGAGGACTCCCTTTAATATTACAAAGGCTGAGGTTGTACATTTAAGATTAGAATAAACCTAGCTATCAATTAACTCTTATGTTTATGATCGAATAGATTATATGACATGTGCATATGACCTGCACAAACCCCCTTATTGAGAAGTTAAAAAAAAAAAAAACGCGTGTTACCGGAAAACCTTGTCTTGAAGGAGTAAATAGATCTTTGATAAGCATGTAGGTAAAAACTTTATTTTTTTTGTTTTTTAACTCTTACGTCAAGATTGACGTGGCTAATCTTGAACCAATCATTTGATGATATATTGAGTCCATCCCAATTAAACAAAGTCAAAATGTCAACTCCCCCTTGTGTAAAACAAGATATTGATTAGAAGGGGATAAAAGCAAAAAGAAGTAATTTTGTGATTGAGGTATTCATTCTGGCATAAATAATTACACAGAATTGTCAACTAGTGTCAATTGCGAACCCGGTACCCCCGGGTCAAAAGTTCATAAACGGCGCCGTTACAGCTCAGGGGAGGTCATCAAACGACGAAAACACGGGCTTCGCTTTTGTGAACTGTAGCATAGGAGGCTACGGAAGGATATGGCTAGGTCGGGCATGGCGTCCTTACTCTCGTGTCGTTTTTGCCTTTACGACAATGTCTGATATCATTGCCCCTGAAGGTTGGAACGACTTCAATGACCCTTCCAGAGATCAGTAAGTTTTGCTATTCAAAACTAGCGAAATGCATTTACTGCTCATCTACATCATTAATATGAAAATTGGACACTTCAATTTTATTTTTATTTTATCATTATATCTTGATTGAATTATGCCTAATCCCCTAATTTTAGATCATATAAATAGATAATACTTACGTTAAGGGCCTGTTTGGTTTGAGGGGAGGGTAGCGGAGGGAGGGAGGGAGAGGCAGGGAAGGGGAGGGGAGGGGAGGTTTCATCCTCACCTTGTTTGGTTTGATTAAAAAGAAAGGGAAGGGAAGGTATTTAATGATCCCTTGTTTGGTTCAAGAAGGGAAGGGGAGGGATAGTAATAATCAATTTACCATTTTACCCTTACATATTAGTTTATGTTTTTATTGATATATTATATAAATTAATTACATATTAATTTAAATCATATAATTTAATAAAAATTCAGTCTTATCATGTTAATATGTGTATTAAAAAATTGGTATAGTAATTTTTTAGTCTAATTAATATATAATATTTAAAATAATCAAATTAACAAATTTTATATGCTCTAAGAAAAATGAATTTTATTTTCTTTAGGCTATCTTTTTTTCCAGTTTTAAAATATATTTAATAAATAATATATTTATAAAAAAAATTAATTTTATAATATTATAATTTTTTATTTAAATAATTTTTATTTTTAAATAATTTTTATAATATATTTTTAATTATAATAATGTATTTATTTTTTATTTTTTTTACTTAGGATAATATATTTTTTATTTGAAATAAATATTATAATAATATATTTTATTGGTAGAAGTGGAATATTAAAAAAACTATAAGGGCATAATGGTCCAAAATTTTGACTCCCCTCCAAAAACCCCCAATTTGGAGGGGAGCCAAAATGGAGGGAGGGAGGGAGGGAGGGGAGAGGAGGGGACATTTTAGCTCCCCTCCCCTCCAAAATTTTTAACCAAATGAGGGGAGGGGCTCATTTTCCCTCCCCTCCCCTCCAACCAAACAAACCCTAAGTTTCTTATATTATATGTGAACATGTGTCTTATTTTTGAAATATTAGTATTTAATAGAATTTAATTACAAATTCACATAAAACAAAAAAAGAAATTATCATGTATGATTGAAAAACTTGATATAATGGATATAAAAATTTGACCTAAGTTTTTTTCCATATAAGCATATATTTATTTATTTTGCCAACTATAAGTATAGATAATCTCTGTAGCCTTTGAAATACCTTTTTTTTCTGCCAACACCCCTAAACACCTATATTTATAGAGAGAGCTTCCATATAATTAATTTTGTATATTACTTATCGGCATACAACTTAAAATCTAGAGAGGTTATCTACATAGCAACCAAAATTTGAGGGTTATATTCACACAAAAATAAAGTTTAGGGGTTGATGCTGTCCACACATGCTTGAAAGCTCAGAGAAATTTAAGTTTTAAAAATTAAGATAATTATTTGCGCATGATCCAAAAAGTTTAGTAGACTTCTTTGCAAGTCAACCTCATAATTTTAATCGACTTGCATGCATATATAGAGTTAGAAAGTAAAGATAATTTCATAATTATCACTTTTGTCCGAAAAAAATCATACGCAGTTATAAATAAATATTAAATTTGATATTGAGTGACAATAATAATTGAAATTTGATGCAGGACAATATTCTATGGAGAATACAAGTGCACAGGGCCAGGGGCTGATCTGAATATGAGGGCGCCTTATGTACAGAGATTAAATGATACTATTGCTTCTACTTTCATTAACACATCATTTATTGATGGAGACCAATGGTTGTTTCCTCCCAAATAATATTAATATTAATATTAATATTAATATTAATTCCCTTCCTCTTTATTATACAAAATATTAATGATTTTTTAAGGGTAAAGACGCAAGTCTACTTATAAAATAAAATACTATCCCATGCACACCAAACACCATAATGTTTCATCGGGTGCAAGAGCACACATAAATATATTTAACTGGAGTTAAAATATCACTGTTATTAAGTCAGCCAACATTAGCAAACATGTCACTTAAAAAATAATGTAAAAATATACATGAATGTTCTTCAATAGTGAAAAAATGTAATTTAACTTTTAATTTTTTTTATAAAGAAACAAGAGTATCCCAAAATCCTCCTAAAAAGATGAGAATGTTTTTATCCTAGGTTACCAATTACTGATCTTATGAGGTATTTGTATTAGCTTTTTAAAAGTAATTTCACAAAGTCTGAGATAAGTACATGAAAAGAGTTGTCTCAAATTGTGTGAAATTTTTTTTAAAGTTACAAGGGTTGCCAAACTCCCTCAATCTTGTTATTCCTTGCACGTTTTTTTTTTTTACCATGATTTGTATTAAAGAAGAAATAAATGAATTGAACAAGCTGTCAAATGCAACTAATTTTATTCAAATTGAATGAAAAATGAGGGATGCTTTCTTCTTCTTTTTTTCATGTGTCTGAATGACAACTCAAATCCGCGTGCTTTGAACCTAAAATTATTGAAATGGTCAAAAGTTGAAGGTTGGCGTAGCAGCCGCCTTATTAAGCCACCATTATGAGCCTCATTTTTCTAAATCTCACTTTACAAACTTTTCAGCGATACAGATTTCATCCAACTCTAAACAACAACAAAAATAAGGGACCTATTTTCTTTTTCCTAGAAGAAAGAAGTTTCATTGATAAAATCAGAAAATTACGTATAATGCAGGAACGAATTAAAATTGAGTCAAAAGACTGCCTAATTAAATGGCAAAAAAAAAAAAACGACTACCTAATTAACATATAAAACCAATAGCTTTATAAATGGGAGGTTTTAGATTTAGTCCCACTTGTAATTTTAAAATGCCAAGGTCTACCCTTTAAATAAAAAATAAAAGAATGTAAAACCAATAGCTTTATAATCTAGTAGCATCAAAGTTCTTTTATAAATGGGAGGCTTTAGATTTAGCCCCACTTGTAATTTTAGAATGCCAAGGTCTACCCTCTAAATAAAAAATGAAAGAATATAAAACCAATAGAACTATAGAAGGAAAGTTTGGCAATAATTCAAAGGGGAAAAATAAAGAGATATGTTCAATTGAAGTTTGCTCGTTAAAAGTAGAATAATTTTCTACATAAAATAATATAGCTTTCATTGTCTCTTGTTTTTGTAAGGAAAAGATTTACCCAACTTGCACATATATACCGTTTTATTTATTTATTTATTTATTATATCTTCTTGTTGGAAAAAGACACTTTTTCCGGTAAAGATTCAAACCTTAATTCATTACACTTTGAGAAACTAGTCTCTGCCGTTGAACTCCATCTCTGTTGGTAAAACAACTTTAATTAATTCATGTTTTACATATATTTTTCGGTCCCCCTCTTTTTGCCCCCAGTTAATACCCATCATTTGCTAATTTTGTAGGCATTTTAATTAAGAAACCATTATTAATTACTTTAAAAGTTTGTAAACTGTCTCATATACAATTTCTTCTTTCATATCCACTTTTCTATAGCCGTTGTCCCTTTACAGTACCTTTTTCATTAATTGTGGAAGTATAAGATCTTTTCAGCTATACTCCTGAATCATTCAATTTTTCTCCAAATCCTAATAAATAATTTAACCATTAGTACATTTAATTAGGGAGAGATTTTGTGGGCAAAATAATTGGGGATAGATTTAAAAAGTAGGGGGGAAAACAGAGGAATGAAGGAAGTCAAAAACATAAAAGTGTGCATATGGTTATAATTATACTCGTAATTAATATTTGATGTTAATATTAATATGATATAATATTATTTGCTACGTTGCTAAATATAGAACTGGTTGATAACTTTATTTTAATCCTAAATGAAAGACTTTAATATATTTTGTTTTCAAAATATACGTACTTTTTTTCTTAAGTTAACCACCACATATTAAAGAAAATTAGTTTTAATTTTAATTTTAAAATTATCAACTAATAATTTTTAAATAAAAATTTATTCTTTGACAAAATAACAGTTAAAAGATTGTAATTTTTATTTCAGATTAGGTACACATTAAAACATTGAACTATTTATCCGATTTTTTGACCAAAAAAAACCTATTTGTCCAATTTTAATATGAATGGTTTGGATAAAGAAGAGTTCTATATGCAAATAATTAAAAAGAAGTATTTTTTCAATCAATTCTTTTTCTTCAAAAAAATTTAAATAATTTATATATATAAATTAGTTATTAACTTTATGTTGAGAATCTGAATTTTTTTTGAAAAAAAAAACACTAAAGCGGGTGTGTTTGGTTGGAGGGGAGGAAAAATGAGCTCTTCTCTTTATTTACTTAGAAATTTTGGAAGGGAGCTCTACCCCTATTTTGGCTTCTCCCAAATTAAAGTTTTTTTTTTTTTTCAGAGGTGAGTCAAAATTCTAAACCATTTTGCTCTCATATATTTTAAAAACATTCCATTAATATCCATAAAATATTTTATTATAATATTTATTTCAAATAAAAATATATCATCATAAGAAAAAATAAAAAATAAATATTGTTATAATTTAAAAATATAGTACGATAAAAATTAATTTAAAACAAAAAATTATCACAATAAAATATTATATTGTAAAATTAATTAAATTTTACAAATATATTATTTTATTAATTTAATTAAATTTTAAACTTAGGAAGAAAAAACATAACTAAAAGACAATAAAATTTCTTTTTTTTAGAGCATCTATTTTTTTGTTAATTTGATTATTTAAAATATATTATTCTATTAATTAGAATAAAAAACTAACGTACCAATATTTAAATATGCATATTAATATGACAAATATGTAAGAATGAAATAATAAATTTATTGTTATTATCTTTTGTTTTTAAAACTAAATAAGAGATCATTAAACTTTTTTTTTTTTATGAAATCAAATAAAGTGAGGTTAAAAACCCCACCCTTCCCCTCCTCTTCTATCCTTCTTTCAAACCGAACAGGCCCTGTAAGTTTGGTCCATGCTTGACCAAGGGTTCAAAGCCCAAAAAGGAGGCACGTGAATAACAGACGAATTTTAGGGCTGGCATTGAAGGAGCGTGGCATCGTCCTCTCTAGTTCCTTCCACCTCCACCCCACCTTCCCCAAAATTGCCTCTCCCGTGCGCTCCTTTATATTATTCCTCTTTCGTCTCGCTCTCTCTATTCTTCTCCAACTTTCACCGTCCCTTGGCTTCTCTCTCGATTCGCCACCGCCCAACTCCGGCTATGGCATCTTTTGATGAGGCACCTCCCGGTAATCCCAAGACTGGCGAGAAGATATTCAAAACCAAGTGTGCCCAGTGCCACACGGTTGACAAGGGTGCTGGCCACAAGCAAGGTAATCATTCTCCCCCTTATCCATTGCTCTGGTCCATTCTGATTTTGGGGTTATATTTGTTGCAATCTCTGTTTTCTTCATGGTTGCTTCTGTTTTCTTGAGTTTTAGTCTTGATTGAGACCTAGATCTAGGAGTAACCGAATGCCAGATTCGTATCCTGGGTTTTGGTTCTTTTTGTGTTTGATTTACGGATTAATCTAGGTAGAATTGAAGATCTAGTTTTCGGCTGGGCTCATTTTAAGAACTACTGTGTGTTATAACATTCTTTTTACGAGAATGTACAAAGAATTCCGAGTTTATTGTAAAGTCCTTTTCTTTTTTTACCTCTTGTATATTTCTGCAATTTCGGTTCGTTATTCTGGAAGCTGGATTCGCTTGTTGTAAAGTTTTGTGAGGAATGAATTCGTCTCTCACTTTTAAAAAGGAAAGGCTGCCGTAGAATGGTAATTCGTTTTCGGTTATAACTTTATTTGATCCTGCGAGTTTGCTGAATACTTTTGGTTGACGGGAATTGTCCGCAATTAATTGAAAGTGGTTGAATATTTTTAGGTTCATGATAGTGTGATGATTGGAATATGTTCTTTTATGTATCGCAAGAAGGACCTAGTTCCTTGCCTTGCGAACGGACAAAATTCTTCCTGCTTTTTAAAAAAGCTCACGAAAGATGATTTTTGGCACTTTTCTTCCAGTCCTTCTGGGTGTATGTTGTCGAAGCATCTATCTCTCTTTCCATTAAATGGTAATTGGTTTAAACGAGCAATTTAATTAACCTGTTAGTTTTGGTAGTTTTTGAGTGATTTGGTTGCCAATGTAGTCCGGTTAAGTGTCCGGATTGATCAGGAGCTGGATTATGGGGTTACCGATTCAATTCAACAACACTGGTCTCCTGTGTCGAACTATTTGTTTGGGATTCTCTATTGCTTGCCTCTCTGCTTTTCCTCTGCTCTTTGACTTTGTCATCAAGATGGTCAGATCTAATTATTTTTCTGTCGAATGTTGAGTTATTGGAATCTCAATTTTTTTTTTTCCAAATGTTAAATTTAGATCATCTAAGTTTGATTTAGACAGTTAAGGGCCTGATTTGTAGACAGTACACGAAACTGGACCAGGAACTATTTCTTTTGTTGACCTGGGAAAACAGAATTTTTTTTTCTTGTCTTGTGTTTGCATTCGTTCTTTTGTTGTATGCATCCTTCTATTCTGGCGAAGGTTTAAAATAGAATTCCTCCTTGTATTATATCCTCATGGACTTTTGTAATGTGATAGCTCGCTTTCCTACTCGTTGATAATTTCAGGACCCAATCTAAATGGGTTGTTTGGAAGGCAGTCCGGCACAACTCCGGGATATTCATACTCAGCTGCAAACAAGAACATGGCTGTGATCTGGGAGGAAAAGACTTTATATGATTACTTGCTCAACCCCAAGAAGGTACAAATTGAATTGGTATTTTTTTTAAAAAATAACTGTAAATTATCAATTTCATGTCCAAGTATAACTTCTACTTGGGCTCTTCTCTTTGCATAAAGGTCATCATTTAAACTCTAATCTGTGGTCTATGATTTTTTTTGGGTGGAATTTGGATTTTCTTGGGTCTTGTGCTTTGTCAAATTATGTGGTCCTTTGCAAAGGGATTAGATTGGACTAATTTTTTCTCTTATTGCAGCATCAAACTGACATATCTCCCTTTTTCTTGTTTCTTGAAATGTGCAGTATATTCCAGGGACAAAGATGGTGTTTCCAGGTCTAAAGAAGCCTCAGGAACGTGCAGACCTTATTTCGTACTTGAAAGAAGCCACTTCACAATGATTTATAAAACCTGATACCATTTGTGTTTTTGAAGTTCCCGAGATTGATTTTCGAACGTTTATTCCTGCGACAAGTACTATGTCTTGGCAAATAAAATAGACTAGATAGATTCACAATGCTATTTTGTCCGTTTAGCATTGCTACTTATTGGTGCCCGAACAGGGGTTGCCTTGTAATGGCTGGTGTTTGAATCAGCTATGGACTCAAATTTTATCAAATATTGGATTTGGAACTGTGAAGCAAGCTTTGGTTAGTGTTGTGCTAGATGAGGGAATTCATTTTTCGGCACTTGCATTTATATATCTTCCTTTCAACCTTTGGTATGCTTGAATGAATGTTGTATAGATCATGCCCTGTCACCTTATTGCATGCATATGGTTTTGAACCTTGGAAAGCACTAGATTTTACTATAGTGGTTGGTAGCTTGTAGGATTCTCAGGGCATTATTTGTTTTCTGTGTTGACACTTTGTTGCGCCACCCAAGAATCTAGAAAGATTATAATGGATTATTGAGCGCATTATTAATTTTGCTAGTGTAATCTACCTATTTTCTTGATTGAAGCAATGTTGATGATATGAATGAGAATAATTTTTTTTAATGCACTCAAATAAATGTGTAATGTATGCATAAATGTTGGCCCAAAAAAAAAAAGTAATGCATGCATCAAATGTGCATCTCTTGTGGTTAAAAAAAAATATGTATGTATGTGGAGAGGCGCATATCTTATTGTGTGTTAGTCATGTGATGCAAGTTGAGCACATCTCCAGCTTATGCCAATGAAGCACTTTAGTTTCCTACCCGTAGCATATTCCTAGTTTGTAATTTGTATTTAGCTAAGTAATGTATGAGATATTGTTTAGGTCAAGATACGAAAGAAAGCAAGAAAAAAAGAGGAAGTTATGCGGGCAAAGTTGAAGTGCACTTTAGCAAGCAAATGTAAAACGCCGAGATAGATTCTTACATATACCCTGAGCTCATATGTGCTCCAATCAATCAAAATCCTGCAACTCATCAATTTTTTTTTTTTGTGCGTTTGGATCAGTTTTGTGAAAATGGATTTGTACCATTCTATTTTCAGTCTTTAATATAAGAAATTAATATAAAAAATAGATAACTAATTTTAAAATGTTAAAAAAATAATTAAATTAGTAATTTGTTATAAATGTGTGTTGTTCGTTTTAATTATTTTTTTCAATCAAGTGTATTGAATGATTGAAATTATTCATTGATGAGAACTCTTATAAAGTAGATTGAGATTTTATATTTAAGATCAAATCTGACTATAACTAGTTTTTTTATATTAAATATTGGAGGCAGTATTATATATCTACTTTGAATAGCCAAAAACAATCATCTACATCTAAACCAAACAGGCTCTAATCAAAGGAGTACAACGAGGAAACCAGGGAACAAACTACAAGAGAGTCTACTAGGCGTCCATCAGAATCCCTCCATAATCAAAATTTCGATCAGTGTTGTAGGAATGATTAACGATAAGTTCCCATTTTGATCCAAAAGCCACTTAATGGTACAAGTGAGACTTGAAAAGAATCCATACTATGTTTTCCCCCCCCCCCACTAAAATATAGATATTCTCCTGTTAGAGGCAATCCTATTCGAAATACTGTTGAGCATTAAATGTAGGTACCTCTCCCAACAGGGATTCAAACCTTGATTTGTCGCGTTGTTAGAGACTAGTCCCTTCCGCTAGACCTAACCTCCGTTAATAGAATCCGTACTATGTTCCTTAAGCAGATGAATGACTGCAGATGAGTCAACCAGTCCACGATTGATCCTCCATTTTACTTCAGTTATTTTACTGTGTCTGTCTGTGCATGTGTAGGATAATCTTTGTTGTAGAATTTCTTCCATATCAAAAATTAATGAATCCAATAGAAAAAGAAGTTAGAGACAATGAACAATGTTTGGCATTTGAACAAAACCCCGACAACATCTCAAATAAAATTGTTTTTAGTAGAAGGATATTGTACTTAACAAAAAAAAATTCAAAATGAAGTTTGCAATTTTTTTAATGATATTTATCTTAAAAATACTTGTGTTTTTTTTTTGGGGTTTTTGCTGTCTTCTTTTCTCATTGTGCTTCCAATCCTTCTAGTCTTTTGCTCCTTACGAGTCAATTCTATAGTCTTTCACATGTGAATGCACTAATCACTCTCTTTCAATTTATGAGATGTTTTCGAAGCAAATTTAAACATTTTAATTAAAAAAGATAAAGGGTATGAACATCTAAAAACATAAATAAAGGGTATGAACTTTTTTATAAAGGGTATTGAATACATTTAAAAACACTTAAAAAAAGATATGAACATATAAAAATGTCCTTAATTGCTGATAGGAAAAATCCTATATAAATACTTATTGAATTCTAAAATCCCAAATAATTCATTCTAATTTTATAAAGGACAAATAACTCTATAGGTATGATATTAGGATTTGTAAGTTTTGACAAATTACCTTTATGCCTTTTTTTATTCAACTAGGGTTCATACAACTTGTGTAATGAAAATTATCAGCTGCATAATAACTTTTGCAACCTGTTTGAAGTCACTCACATATTATTTTACAAAAAAAGTGATGAAAATGACAACTTCCATAGGGCAAGTTACCATTTCCATTAGGAATTTGCAGCCCATTTATTTGCAACCTAATCTTATTTACGACCCAATTTTAATCTATTTGAAAACAATTTTATTAAATATATAACAAGACGTAATGAAAGATACCAGTTGCATAATGATCTTTGCAACCTGTTTTAAGTTATTTGCATATTATTTTACAAAACAAGTAACGAAAATGACAACTTGCTAATGCAAGTTACTGTTTCGAGCAAGAGATTCGCAACTTGTTTATTTGCAGCCTTTTATTATTTGAAACCAATTTTAGTTCCTTTGCAAACAACTTTATTAAACATGTAATAGAAATGATAACTTGCATAATGAAAATTACTAAATACATAATGATTTTTGGGAGAAGTAAATAAGGGCCAAAATGTGTTGACAAATTAGTATACACATACATTAGAAGAACATCATAATAAGCCTAATATCAATAACTTCCATAATTTACTACTCCTCCGGTCCTTATTATAAGACCCAATTTGACTTTTTATTTGGTCCTAATTATAAGACCCAATCCATTTTTTCTCTTATATTTATGCATTTTTTTCCAAGATAATCCTTCTAATAATGATAGTTTTAGCCAATATACTTAATTAGCAAGGATATTTTAGGAATGACAACACTTATTTATTATAAATAGCCAACTTAACTTACTTCCTTAATCTCCTCAATAAGTCAATTGGGTCTTATAATTAAGACCGGAGGAGTATATTGTAATGGAATTGATTACTAAAGTGACAATATTTATCAAAAACTAATAAGCTTATGACAGAAGCTACATTAAATATATTCAAATGACAAGTTAACATTAAGATTAAACTAGCACCTATAATATTTTCTTGTCATTCACGCCACAAAGGTCATTTCATTGTATACTAACATGAATGACTACATTTACAATGGGTTAGATAGCTGCACTAATGGCATTTACCAAAAAACCAAAATGTCTCATGATAGCAACTACATTTAGTGCTACTATGGCTAGAAAAAAAAGAAGATTTAGTTGTGTCTTCTCTCTCTCTCTAAAGAAAATGACCCACAGTTGTTGTTTTAGTTCCCATGGCTTCTTTTGAATATTCATAAATATAAGCATCAAAGCTAAGCTCAAGGAAAAAAAAAATCCACAATGACCGCTACTTGAAGAAGAGAACCGGTTGTAAAATGGTGTGCTCCCAAAATCAATGGCAGTCTTTCTTCTCTACCCTAAAATAGTTCAACTGCGTCTCTAATATCCAAGAAAATCCACTGAAAGTGTGATGCAGCAACGACATAAAATAATGTCTTCTTCATCTTCTATTAAAATCGTTTGAATCCAAATAGTAATTAACTCAAAAAACTCAGAGATCACTCAACTGCCAAACATTGTGGGTCTATATAATTATTGAAGTGACATGCCAATCATTGAAAGGGATGCTAAACAAATTGTGTGGCAAATTCTATGGTTGATTTCAAGAATGGAAACAGTTCAGCTGGATCTCTAGCCTATGAACATAATGAAGAGAGAAAAGATTAAAAAAATGAAAAAAAAGGGACATAGAGGTAATTTGTTAAAATTTGCAAATCAATAAAACATAAATTAGTACAGCATATATGTGCGTGGGTAAGCCGTGTATTCTTACCGGCTCCTCTCACATATTCACTGTTCAAGTGAACAGTGGTGCCTTCGTGTGCAAAACTTGGCTTCATTTGTCGGGCGCAGTGTGGATTGTGTATGCGACTTTTTCAACTGCTCCTTGAAAAGTAGTAAGGAGTTGTGCAGGTTACGTGTACCTTTCGAGTGAGGTATCATCTCATCATCTATCATCAGTCTCTCCTATATAAGACTGCTTCACTCTCACTTCCTTCCCATTACATTCTCACAGCGGTGTGTTCTGACTTTTCATGGCTTTTGAATATGACAGGCACGATGAGGTTACTACTTCTATTGATAGGTGGAAGGTTGTTGTGAAGGTTGACACGGTCTTCATGAGGACGAGCTACGACATGATTGTGTTCCATGAGAATGTAAGTTATTAGTGCTAACACCGTATATTCCTTCATTGTTACCGTACTTTTTTTTATGGCCAGCTGTTGATTTCACTTAACTTTTGTATCTCCAGCATACAAGGATGCTTCCTAGGCTTGTAGTGGATGAGTTGATCAATCGTTTCTTCAACATGCTTGTGGATGGGAATGTTTACCTGCTGCAGTACTTCATCATATAGGTGTAGGTGGAGAGGGAATCTCTCCAAAGCACCATGTCATCCTGCTCCATAGCACCTTGGTACAGGAACCAGATTTCCTGTTCCCACTTTTGGTTTGTTGATGCAATATACGGAGAGGTACTTCTGCTGGTGTCAAGGGTGAGTTTACTTCTTTAGATTTGAGGGTTTTTGGACGTACCTAGAATACAGATGATTACTCTAGGTACCTATGCGTAATCTGATCACATAAAAGGAGTTGGATTTTTGATGTACAATAAATGCAGAGAAAGGAGAGTCTCTTGTGTTTTCTTGATCATTCAGTTAAGAGCAATCCACTCAGATATATCTTCAACTGTTTTGCAAGGTTTTCTCCACTTAGAAAAATTGTTCCCTCCTTAATAATTTTTCAAATAAACAAAAAATGGGCCGTTTTACTAATATGAACCCTGATCTTTCAGTAAATCACATCTAAACC